ATAATAATAATAATGCTTCAGTCTTTATGCTTTTGGGCCCCTTAATGAAGAAGTGGTTCCCTGGTCTTGGCGTGACCGTACGGTTACACAGTGGTTACATCTGACTCCTCTCAGTGAGGAGTTTCCACAGATCAAACATGAATGTTAGGTTAATTGGTAACTCTAAACTGTCCCTAGGTGCGAGTGAAAGTGTGATTGTCTCTGTGTCTCTGTGATGGACTTGTGACCTGTCCAGGGTGCCCCTTGTCTCTCACACAGTAGCTGCTGGAGATAAACACCAGCTCCATGTGGAAGTGTGTTGCCTGAATACATCATGACACCCTCCTCCCCACCTCAACCTCCTCACCTTTAGGAAAGTTGCACTGCTCTCCTACACTGACTTGGGATGTGTTGACCAGGTAGCCAATGGGAACGGTCCACCCCACGGTGGTCCGTATGCCAGGGTGGCAGGAGCTGCGCTCGTGCATCTCCAGCAGGGACAGGTCTGAAGAGGAGCGGCGGGCCATCGCCACCACGTAGTAGCTGATACCATCTGTTAGGAGTGGTGGAGAGACAGCAGGCGTGAGGAAAACAAAAATAACCCTGCTGCATGGTGCGCTAAATCTGACTACAGAGCTCCAACGTGAGACTTACCTGCTCCGTTGTGAGACTCTCCTGCTGCGAGCTCCAGGCCGTGGCAGAAACCTGCTGCGTAGACATCATCGGCAAACATGGAGGCCGCATCGGCTGTCCCGTTCTGACGAGGATAGAGTCATGGTTTTAAAAACAACTGAGTCACAAACAGCATGAAAATATATCTGTTTAGTTAGGATCAGTTTCTCATCTGATTGGATAAAAATGTAAAGGCAGACAGAAATGTGCAGAACACCACATTTAAAATGTATGAAGATTCACAAAATGTAACAATTTTAAGAGAAAAACACGACTTGATGTATTTTTGAAAACATAAAAATCATGATTTTTTAAGAACAAAATTATGAAGAACATCTGGTGACAGATTAAAATAATTTAAAACAATGCCTGTCAACACATTACTATATAATGACAATAAGATAATTTTGAGCAGCTGATTTAAACGCCTCTTGCTAAGAATTGCTCCATGCCCAACTAAAGTGTGTCAGTGTAATAATTCCAACATTTAAAAAAATGAAATTAATTCAAACGTGTCTGTGTTAACAATCAACAGTCTGCATGGAAATGACTGCAGTTCCTATTTTGTGGTAACAATGTATGAACACATATTATTTATAATTTTTTTGTCCCTTGTCACCAGACGGGTTCCGTACAAAACAGAGAACACAATTTTAAAATTCACATTAAATAAACAGAATTTCTCTGATGCTTTCTTTTTGGAAATCTAAAAGTTGTGTTTGTTTAAAATTTACTTTTATACTCTAATAAGTCTGTTTTTATTAAATCAGATTTGCACCTGTTTTTAGTTTTCTTGGGGTTTTTGTGAGGTTGTGTATTTTTTTAATTAAATTTTACGATGCTTTTTTTCTTTTATTAGTTTTTATTTTAAATGTCTTTAAGTGTGATGTGCTTCGTATCTCATGGGGACAGGAAAAAATACAATAAAGAAATAAAATATTATATAAAACGATTGTAAATTAAAATAAATTAAATAAATTTGTCTAATGGTGATGCTCATGCCAGAAAAAAAACATCAAGAAAATCCACAGCAGTACTGGAGTTCAAGATCTATAAAATGTTTGTTTGTTTGTTTGTTTGTTTGTTTGTGTTTGTTTTTTTAATTCCAGGCGTCCACTTTTGTTTTTATAACACATCATACTTTGATTTTATCCATACAGTCTCGGGTGTTGAGGCCACGGACGCACAGCAGGGTTCCTTTAATGTTCCTGGCTGTAGCATTTCCTGCTAAATCCAAACACTTCTGCTCCTCAGCATCTGACTGAACACACCAGGAGACTGAACACACAGAAAAAAATTACAACAACAAATGAGAATCTGCATCAATCCAAACATTTCTGAATATTTAAAATAAGGATTGGGTGGCCTTAAAGTCTAAGCACAGTGGGTACCTGTGGTTTTCTGGTGGGAGACACAGCTGACGCTCAGAAGAGGCAGGAAGAAGAGGAAAGCTGTGTGCAGTCGTCTCTCTGAACGCTCCATGTCGACTCTGGTTGGACACCGGTTTGGAACTGATTCTGTGCTTCAACAGAAAAGGGGAACTCACTGATTAAAAAAAAAGGTCCTTCAGCTAACCCCRTCCTTTCTTGTAATATTGAGACATGGGAAATGAGATATAAAGCAGGTAGATTGAATGTAGAAAGAAGAAAACATCACTTTATCCTCAGCAGATAATCCTTCCTGAGTCTCATGATGGCAGGATAGCGTTTCTTCCTTCTAATTATCCGCTGAGGTTTAGAGCCTCTGAAGAGGATTTTGGTGGACACGTGTGGGCTTGCAGCAGCTCAGGTCACCTGGCACCGAGTCCCAACCAGGGGTCTTTAATTAATTTAAAAAAAAGAAAAAGTGCTGTGGACAATGTGTCTCTGTGTTGAAGTGGTGTTTGTGGAGAACAGACACCGGCCGGGTCTCGCTCCGACTCACTGGAGACTAAACCCCCAGGTGAGCAGAGGGACACAGCAGCGGTTATTGTTCATGACCAGTGGACTCAGTGAGGGGCAGACATATCAGCTGTACTGCTAACAATTCATCCATTTTTCTCTCTTTGCACACAGACGACGCACAAGCACACATTAACTCAACCAGAGTTACACACACATCAGGTGAGAGGAAAACTTCATTAAAATTCTTTATTTTTTTTAGACAAAGTGAAATTTTCAAATCAGGAAATCATATAGATGTTTTGAAACATTAGACACTGTATAAAATGTGTTTTTTTTATTTAAGCTCGTAAAACTCAATTTAAACACCACTTGTGTACCAATCAAAAAGAAAAAATTAAACTAATAATAATTCACATAAAAGACATTTTGTTTCGACACATACTATCATCTCTAGGGGAATCTTTATGTAGAGGTCTCTGTCCTCTCATTTTTACTGATATATCTCTGTGTGACATTTGGTCGTAACTTTGAAGTCATTTTTGTGTTTTAAGGTGGGAATATAGGGAATGTTGGTTTCGTTTTAACTGACAGGGCTATCCAAAACATTTATGTTCATTGAATAATTTTGTTCTTTTGCCTTTGTTTAGCCAATTATGATAAAATATGGGACAAAGATTTTATGCAAAAACAATTGRTTTGTATTGACTAACTAAATAACGTAATATAACTGCACTATTATCCTCTACTTCTCACAAAGGCACTTGTGCAAAATAACATAAAAGCAACAACGTAACAAAAAAATAAATATAACATCAATAATAGCCTACAACAAAAAAATACCTTCCAAGCATGATGAAGAGGAGGGGGTTCAATTAAAGACTAATTTGAATCAATTTAAGAACTCTGCACTACTGCCTTTATGTTTTGCGTTATCTGAATATTGAAGTCAAAAGTACAACTAAAGTATACACAAATATATCGGTGCCTCCAAATCAGAGACCATGGTCTTGAGCCAGAAAATGGTAGGGTGCCTTCTCCAGGTCGGGGAGGAGGTCCTGCCCCAAGTGGAGGAGTTTAAGTGTCTCGGGGTCTTGTTCACGAATGAGGGATCAYTGGAGCGGGAGATCGACAGGCGGATTGGTGCTGCATCTGCAGTGTTGCGGGCGCTGTACCGGTCTGTCGTGGTGAAGCGGGAGCTGAGCCAGAAGGTGAAACTCTCGATTTACCGGTCGGTCTACGTTCCTACCCTCATCTATGGTCACAAACTTTGGGTAGTGACCGAAAGAACGAGATCGTGGACACGAGCAGCTGAAATGAGTTTCCTTCGCAGGGTGTCTGGCAGTGGCGGCTGGTGGATTTTTCTCCAGCGGGGGCTACAGCTCCAAAACAGGCTCATCTCCAAAAACAAACAAACATGTACTAAGTTGCATCACACCAGTGTATTTATTAAACAAATAAAAATAATAAAGCAGCATTACAATGTCACCTAGTGTTTTATTTTTTGTACATAAATTTTGCCCTTCTGTTACTGAGAAGCAAARTTCTTCATGACTCTGGTTAAAGTCAGGTATGTTTTAACKAGATTCTTCTCTATAGAGAACATGGTCAGATCAGTGAGGTGTGATGTTGTACCTGAGGAAAGTCTGGATTGTCTTTGGTGTTGAAAAGCTCCTCTCAGATTCAGCTGTGGTCAGAGGAGATGTGAAGATCACCTGAGCCCAGTGAGCGACGTTTTTTCTCCTGCTGAGACAAACCATGTTCTTCACAGAGAAATCTCTGAACAGAAACAAGTGGGAAAAATTCATCTTTAGTCAACAGGTAAAATAACAAGAAATATTAGGTGGTTAAGTACAATAGTAAAATTAAACAGCACAATATACAAAATAATTTACCTGCACTTTTGTATGTTGTCTGTGAACTGCTGCATGATTCTCTGAACAAAGACAGAGTTGATGGTCCGCTTCTGAATCTGGCTGTAGAGAAMGTCCACATGAGGACATAAGATGGAACGGTTTCAGAAAGAAGCTGAAAATGTCATCCTCCAAAAAATCCTGATGCCGTATTAGTTTGTACATAAACAAATCATATCACAGTCGAGCAGGACATAATCATTCAAATAAAAGGACTGTACTTAAAGAGTAACTTACCCCAAAATTAACTTTTTTTAGCTGATAAACTGTCTAGAATGTGTGTAAAATGTTGTAT